TGAATAACATATGTGTTAAAAGTCTGTCGGACACTATGTACGACGTCACATCTCTGAATAACATATGTGTTAAAAATCTGTCGGGCACTATGTACATCACATCTTTAAATAATTAATGTATTAAGAATCTGTCTGACACTATATATCGGATATCATATCTTTTATCATTGATATCTCTATAACGTATTGTTTCTCACTTGGTAAGGAATTGAATAGTTTTTCTTCTGCAAAATTTTAACTCAAAGAAAGTATAATTAACAGGTCAGAATCAAACTTGCCAAATATGTCTGGCAATGTGATGCCGACAGGATGTTAATAATAAAACATGTTATTTAAGCATGAAATGACCTAATTCATGACCCGATCTACTTGGTTATCCTTGACCCGGTAAACGTAAACATTAATTAACATCCAACTCCTAGACCTCTCCCGGGTCATGTGGTATTTTCGAACTCTGATTACAAGGGAAGATATTAAGAGACTCGGAAGGTGGTCGTTGAATACTTTCCTATCATTTGTGAAAACTTTACCGAATACTAAAACTGAGATTATACGATATCTTGGATTTATGTACATACACGTTTTATTAGAATACTATTACAATACTTCGTAAGTTATCACTGTGGATTTGAATAACTTGCAAACTTTGAAGATTTTAATCGAGAGGCATCGTGATCCCCTCAAATCCCTCGACAGAATGATACGAAGCCTGCATTATTTTATTCAAAATGAATGCGAATAAGTTAGTGACAGATTAAAACTTTATTATCTCGACAATTTCGGTTTTAAAAATTATATATTTTTTTAGTATTGATATCTTCCATTTTTTGTAATTTATATGTTATATAATTGTAATTATATAAATTGCAATTATTTACAGTTCTCTATAAAATCAAATAATTGAAATCATCTAATAAATACTGTTCGAGATTAATTTGAATCTCGTTTATTTCATCCCCGGCGTGATGGCGGGTGGACAAACGAAAATAAGGGGGTGGACAAACGAAATAAATGCATTGACAAACGAAACTAATGCGAGGACAAACGATTCCAGTGCTTGAGATGAAGAAAATGCAACAGAAGTGCTCGGGATTGTCATTTTGTACTTTTTCTTGTTAATGACTTAATTCCACTGGGTGGACAAATAAAAATAGGGGGTGGACAAACGAAATAAATGCATTGACAAATGAAATTAATGCGTTAACAAACGATTCCAATGATTAAGATGTGAAAATGCCCATCATGAGGAGTGCTCGGGGTTGTCATTCTTTTTTTGTTAACAACTCGATTCTGCTTGGTGGACAAACGAAAATGTTGGATGGACAAACGAATGCCACTTGGAGATTTATGAGACCTGTTTATGGGGGTGCTGTTAAATTTTTAATTTGGTTATAACTTTACTATGAAGTGGACAAACGAAAATTGTCGGTGGACAAAAGTGGACAAATCGTGGACAAACGAATGTCACTTAGAAATTCATGGGGGCTGTTCATGGGGGTGCTGATTGTAAATTTTTTTATTTTTATCATAACTTTTTTTGTAAGGGTGGACAAACGAAAATTATGGTTGGACAAACGTGGACAAATCGTGGACAAACGAATGCCACCAGAATTTTATGAAAATTTGCATTTCGGGGTGCCAACTAAAGAAATTTATTGCGAAAAATATTACTTCGAACCTGGATTTCCCTATGCTCTAGACGGGCGTCTCACCAATTCGAACACTAAGGCATGTTTAAAATGGACCCAGTTTTTACCCTGATAACATTGAATCCATCCTTTATTGACTACTTTGAATTACCATATAAACCAGGCTTTAATTCTATTCTCGAAAGCATAAGTTGAGTTTCTTGGTCTCTAGTCTGCATATTCAAATTTTCTCGATGTGCGAGAAATCCAAGAATAACGTGCGAAAAACAAAACTCATTTTTCTTTTCTTCTTCCGAAAATAAAAAATAATTTTCCGAAGGATCTCTGTTCCTTGACGAACACCAACGTTCTCTCCGAGCTTCGATCCTGTCGTCGTGACCTTTGAAGTAGGACGATAGTAAATATCTTTACAGGTACAAGCGAGTCCATGCGAAAGCCAATTTCGTAATCGAGATGTAAATTGCACCGCATCTGGCCGATTGCCAGTGCCTTCTCTCTTTCCCACTCCTCTCCTCTTCACTCCCCATTGAATTTTGCTTTCTGCTTGCGACACGTTTTCGGTACCTCAAGCTCTTGGCCGCTTTCTCGCTCGTTTCTACCCTGCACGTACCAACACACTTACCTTATACCTTGGCTATATTATTCGGCACGTTGAGCGTAGCATAATGCGAGCCCTATTTCTGGAACGATTCCAGCGGTCGGAAACAGCCGGTGGGACACCGCCGTGATTTGATCCAGGTTGCCCCTGATGAAATGCGGCAACACGAATATACATGCACATCGAGAATATTAAACGCCTGGCAGATCACGGCCGCTTCAGCCTTGTTTCTGCCTGTGCGTGTCATTTTGCTGTGATCAGCGCGGCCTCTGCATGCGGGGTCCTTTATGTCGTTATTAAGTTCGACGTTCAACATTTGATTGTAACGTGTATAATTACCGTTTGCAATGACTATCGTCGGTCTCGTAGCAACAAATAACTGAGTCGTGTGTGTGCTGTTCTAAATAAATTCTCTTTTTAAATTATGATCGGAATGTTTCGATCTGCAAGTGGAGAGAAATTCTGAATGAGGCGCATGTGTTTGACATTCTGGGTATTTCAATTAATTTCAATTCATCATGCGACTACGATTGCGAATAAATTTATTCTTAAAATATTGGAATACGAAAGATATTTTGTGCCTGCGTGACTTTGGTCTTCAAATCCCGAGTAGAAATGAAATCAGGCATGCTTTATGTATAGTCTGTTAGGGAGGAAGTAAGGAATGGCCTAATAAGGAATTCTTGACATGTGCTTGATCCGATGCACCTGATTCCCTTATAGGATTTGATAAACGTCAACCTGAATATGGTATCTCCAAAAATATGAAAGATACGGAAAAACATTTCAAATAAAAGTTGTTTGGTTCGAAGGGGGACATAAGATGGTGCCATTGACTTGACCTTGGATAGTCATTTAAAGATCACGTGAAATTTACCATTCAATTTTTTAAATGGAGCCCCCTAATATTTATTATATTTTTTCAATGTTTGGCTTATGATCGATTATTACTGTTTGTCGGCGGGAAAAGTATTGTAGTACAGGACTTTTTTACTTTATTTAGTCTTAGGAATATGCTGTAGCAATAGTGTTTCAATTATTGCAAATGTTTGTGTATTGTAACACAAAATTTGCATACACAACAATTTTCAATAATTGGAGCACTATTACATTTTACGTTATTGAGATTCACTCACTGACATTGATTATTGCAAATTGCACAGTAAATTGCGAAGACATGTATCAAATCTGATTTTCGAACTGTTCGCGCTGTTAATTGCCTAATTTATAAGCACACGTACAAGGAGTGCGATATATTCTCGCGCTCTCCGAGATTTATGTATCAGAAATTCTCAACATTTACATTTCCCGCGATGGGAGTTGTCGAATAGCGACCGCGTTACCGATAACGCGATGTCGCATTTGCAAACGTTATGACGTGCGTAACTGAAGTTCCGAGTTGGAGCGCCATTCCGCATGCAATTCGGCGCAATCGTCTATCAGCTGGATTTAATCGGCAACATGCCTTATCCTGTTACTATATATAGCGCTGAAAAAGAACGGGACACAAGCGGGCTAGAAAACTCGCGCGGGCTCTCGTAAATTACAACAGTTGTCCTTCCACGAGTATTATCACTCCTATGATAAATATTCACATTTTATTTAACGTTTCTGTAAGCGTGAGTCATTTCTCACTGACACTGATAATACTTTTTTTTTATTCGCATTCTGAGAGACTTCTTTTATTTTTCGAGATTAACATGCTACATTTTTTATTTTACAATTCGCTTCGTGCGATGATATACTATAGCGGAAAAGTAGGACTTAGGGCGCCCATGGTGGCCGAAGTTTGCATTATTTGCTGGAGTGACAATTATCGAAAAATGGAAAAATTGCGAAAGGGAAATTTAAATTGTTGCGTGTATTCATGTGAAAATGTATTTCACAGATTTAAGA